CCCAATGTACATCTGCTACCTCAAGGAGATTCCCATATCTGGACCACATAGGTCTAACTGTGAAGAGGCTGTACCTGGCAGATAAGACTTACATATTCTGCTTACTTTTCATAGTGCACTGCTAGCCAAGGGTGGAGCTGAGAGTGACAAGCACAAACATAGACAGACACACACACTGTACGCATAACACAGGGTCTTGGAGGAGACTAGGCCCCTAAATGCATGGCACGCATGGCCCACCGGTGAGTGGATATGCCTTGGTGCCTGCAAACCTAGCTCCCAGCTTTGGATCAAATAGCCTCACTGTGACATGTTTGAGACATGGATGCCCTGTTCAAACTGGGAGTTTAATTCCAAATAAATGCAAGTTACTTTGAATTGAATATGAATGATGTTAAAATGAAAAATGTAATGCAAATTAGTTTAAATTTCGAATTATTAATTTACTGCACATCAAATTACTCTGCATTAACTCTGAGTGAATAGTGAACACTATTAGCAAAGGTACCGTATATACTCGCCTATAAGTCATTTTTTTGGGAGTCAAATTTTGGTCTAAAACTCTGTGTTCGACTTATAGGCGGGTCATAGATAGATTGGTATTTTTCTGGAAGTCTAAAGGTTGTATTTTAAAAACAATCTCCCCGATTATCATTGTACAGTCTATATATTATATCATTTATGTATTCTAAGATTATGCATAAAGTATACAAGTATTATAAATTTTAATTATTTTATTTTATCTTAGGTGTGCGTTACTTATTTTTTAATGATTTAAAATTGAATATCGACGTTTTTTTAAAAATATTGATTAAAACCAGGTTAAAACATTAGAGAATTGATTTGAAATTGTCAACCAATTCTGGAAGAAAAGTTGTACCGACTTATAAGCGGGTCAATTGCAAATCCCTTCAAAATAACCGCAAAAAATACAACCGACTTATAGGTGGACCGACTTATATGCGAGTATATACGGTAATTCGAATTAAATTTTGAAGCATGTGTAATAACAAAACTAAGTCAATGGTCAGATATACCTGGTAGGTACTTATGCTATTTTTGAGTAAAAACAAAAAATATTTCATTCACAAAAAATGTGTACAGACACTATGACATGTCAGATGTATACTGTAAACCAACTGTTATTTGTGTCATCTTTTATTCATGATTTGTCAGTCTGAAAATCAATCCGCAACAATTAATTTTTGCGAATGAGGAAATATTCTCTGCATAAACAGAGCAAAATAAATGGTCACTGCGATTAATATTCGCGAGTTAAAGTAGGTCGCGAAACTCGCGAATATTTCTCGCACGCGAATAAAAGTTGGTTTACAGTATATGCTCTGCATAAGGATACATTATTTGCAGATGATGTCATAATAATAGCATTAATCAAATTATCAAATTTTAATGTGCATTGGTTTACTTTGCATCCATTAACTGTCATGTGATTACTATTTAATTTGAATGAAATTAATTCGCATTATTTACTTCGCATTAATTTAATACAATGTAAAAACTTAAAGCACATTCATGTGAGGGGCATTCAATTTAGAATTTCATACTGATAGCTGGAACAGTCATGGGTCAGGTCTAACCAGCTTGGGTCCTCCAGCTGGTAAGAACCCTATTCTGAGTCTGGTATTTTCATGGTTAATCAAAGATTGAGTTATACATGTAAACAAGCAAATTCAAAGAACTGTGGTCCCTGCTTTTAGTGTCTTAGTGGTTCGGATATAGCAGTTATTTATGGCATATTGTTACTGTCTTGTTTGTGTGTCCTTCAAACTTCTAGGCGAAGGTCATGAAGTCAAAAATGATATACATTTATGAAAGATGTTGTCATAGGTAATGTAATGTGAAATATGAAAGCCCTATCTTCCCTCATTCAAAAGTTATTACCAATATTTAAAAAAAAACTGAAAAAGACTATAGGTTAAACTTCAAGGTCAAGGTCATGAGGTCAAAAACCAGAATTCATTCAGAAAGGTCTTGAAACAGGCAATGCACATGTCAAGTATACGATCAAATATCACAGCACTTTCGGAAACTTCTCGTCACAGGTAATGTACTTGTCAAATGAATGCCTTATCTTCTCTCATTCAAAAGTTATCACCAATGTTAAAATTTTTGAAAATTATGTCAAACTTCAAGGTGAAGGTCATGGGGTCAAATATCATAGTATGATCAGAAACAACTTGTCACAGGTAATGCACATGTGAAATATAAATGCTCTATTTTCTCTCATTCAAAAGTTACAAACAATGTTTAAAATTGTGAAAATTAGGTCAAACTTCAAGGTCAAAGTCACAGGGTCAAAAATCAAAGTACATGTACATTTGGAAAACGTCTTGTCACAGGTAATGTACATGTGATATATGAAGTCCTATATATTCTCATTCAAAAGTTATGACCAAGGTAAAAGTAATGCTAAAATTTTCAAAAAGTAGGTCAATCTTTAAGGTCAAAGTCATGGGGTCAAAAGTCATAGTATATTTGGAAAGGTCTTGTCACAGGTAATGTACATGTGAAATATGAAAGCCCTAACTCTTCTCATTCAAAATGTATGACCAAGGTTAAAGTTTTTGTGACAGACTGACAAACAGACAGACTGTCAGACAAATGAGATTTAATGTTCCCTCCCTTTCACGAAAGCGGTGGACAAAAATGTGGCTTTGAAGAATTTGGTACTGCAGGATAAAAACTTGAATGAATAACCCCCCTCTCCCCCAAATTAAATACATATAAACATTTGCTAGTGAATTATTTAAGATAAAGAGTACATTTTTTTTCCCTGACAAAAATGTCTACCAATTTATGTGGAGCAATTGTTAGGGAATAGGCTTATATAGTTGTCAGTAAATCTATTAATTTCCCCAAAACTTTTGAGTTATAAGATTTAAGATGGCATTTATTGCACACTTGACTAAAATGCTTCAGACCCTACAAGACCCTAAGCAACAACAATTGACCAGGATTTATTGGAATACTTAGTGGGCAAACAAGCAGCACTCTCTTGCTTCCACAATAGACAATTAAGTTAACAATCAAACTCCAAAGACCTAACGAGACCATACTCGAGGGGATGAGGTTTACTAAATATTAACAGCTTGAACATCAACATCTTCCATCACTGTCGCTTTATAAGAGTTACAGCATCCATGTAAAGCCAGAATTGCGATAGCAAGCAAACGGCAAAAAATATAACAAGAGGTAACTCATTCAAAATTTCTACTGTGACAGCATTTATGCATGATATTTTTTGATGTGGCTATGAGAAATATCTCACAAAATATGACCTTCACATTAGTCCAAAAGATGACCTTTATGTTAGTACAGGTAAACAGTCAAAAAGATGACCTTCACCTAGTACAGGTTAACACAGACTGAAATATGACCTTCACAATAGTACAGGTAACACAGTTCTAAAGATGACCTTCACATAAGTACAAGTGAACACAATCTGAAATATGACCTTCATATAAGTACAGGTAAAACAATCCAAACTATGACCTTCAGATAAGCACAGGTAAATAAAGTCCAAAATAAGACCTTCACATTAGTACAGGTAACAAAATCCAAAAGATGTCCTTTTAACAAAGGTAAACAGTCTATTTTGGAATGTTTACCTTTGCTACAAGGTCATCTTTTGATATGACCTTCACATTAGTACAGATAAACACACAAGTCATGTTACTTGTGTAAACTTAACCTTCTTTGTACTACAATTAATCAATGCCTTCAAATTTTTGTAATTTCAAAAGCTAAAGATAATTCTCCTAGAACAAATTACATCAGATGAATAAGCTTAATTATTTTTTTGTTTTGAACAGTAATCTCCTGGCCAGAATAATTGCAAACAGATATGCTACTTAACAATTTTCTTAGTTCAAAGATTTCATTAGATGAGAATCATCAATAGGCAAATCCGTTTACATTGCTATAAGAATGAGAGCCATCATTTACAGTCAAGTCTTGATAATCAGAAGGCTTGTGAAGTTTCCTGATCTCTGTGACGTACCTTTTATACTTGGTTTTTGTTTGTTTGTTTGTTGTTTAACGTCCCTCTCGAGATTTTTTCACTCATATGAAGACGCCACCACTTGCCGGTGGAGAGCTGCAAATTTTGACCTATGCTTTTTATGCTTGGTAGATATAACTGCAAGTTCTAATTCCAATCAAATCATCCAAAAAGTGTCTATCGAAGCATCCATATTATTGGTGCTTGACTGTATGCATACCGGTATGTAACAGGAAAGGACAAAATGTATGGCTGGACTGGGAATCAAACTTGGGACCCCTGCATCACTAGTCAGGTGCTCTAACCACTGAGCTATCTAGGCTAATATTCACGACTCAAACCACAACATTCCTCCCTGCTTAAATTGTCTTTATCATGCCCTAGAAGTCCTTGGAATGATAATAACAATCAGTTTTAATAAGAAATAAATTAATAAGAAATAAAGGAGAAAGTATTCAGTAGATGTACATATATCACGATAAAGTTAACTAAATCAAGTAAATATCAAATAAAGTAGGTATCATGTAAATTTCACAATGTTTTATGTGGAAACATGGTGTATTTTCAGCGGAGTTTATATTTATGATATATCACACTTTTCCCCTAATTTACAGTAATCTCCTCTTGCTTTAACTTACTTCTTAAAGGCTATAAAGATTGTTACATGCTTTTAGTTTAGATTACATGCTGATCTCCTGGCTTTTAATAGATTTACTTGTTTATTTATTATCCTTTATTTTTCTAGCTTGAGGGTATATTTCACTGGCTTCTTGGATTACACACTCCATAATAAAGTATTAAACTTTATTCTCTTCATTGTGTACGTATCATACAAAAGCGTATCATTTATAGATAATAAATTTTGACTTCAGAAAGTAATATACTATACTACATGTATAACAAGTCAATAAATGACATTATTCTATTAATACCTTAATGGTATGTAAACAATCAGTATTTATTCATAAAAGGTACTCACCATGCCTGAGGAAAAAATCTGGTTGTGACGTTTCATCTCCGTTTTGTCTGATCATATCCTCAACAGTACTAAAACCTACAACAATCAGAGAAAATTAGTGCACTGTCATGAAAGATGGATTTTAATGGAGAATCATACAGATGTAAAATTTGAATACCTTAGCTTATAATGGCAAGATAGAAATCAGTCATTACGAGATATAAATGAATGCTGATGAAAATCAGAGAGATATACATACAACTCGGATTAAGTACAAGTCTCCTAGACCAGGACCACTGAGGACCTCAAAAATCCCTCATTCCTCCTTCTACCACACTTAGCTGATGAAGAATCCCTCCTTGGGGAATTTCCTACAACAAAAAATACATAGATCGAGAAAATGCTGAGAAATTGGCCGCAATCTTGGAAATGTATCTTTTTATGTTGTGGCTATGTGATGGATGGACTTATTTAAATTTGTGCATCATTACTGCCAAAGATACATGGCCATTTCTGTAGATCAATAAGACATAAGGAATAGGAGAACACCATCAATTGATTAACAGTGATAAGAATTTCCACTAGAGTCATTGAAACACATCATGGAAACCTGACAGTTAAAATGTGATTGCTACATGATATATAAAGCTCTAGTATTGTACATTTTCTCACAAATCAAATGTGTCATGCATTTTTATTACTTTAATTTGTATTTAATCCAAACATTGCAGTTCGATCTACCATAATGTAGAATTTCAAGGACCTCTTTGATATGTAAGACTAATGCACAAAAAGTCTTTTCTTAGCTAATTAGAATTAAGAAGTGCATTAAAGTTAATGTGAAATCTTAATTATGTTGAGAGGACTTTTTTCCTCAAATAAAGAATTTAGTTTAGTAAATTGATACATGGTAAGAAAAAATCTCAGCCAATCAAAGGCTGCATTTATCAGTTTGCATGGCAATCCAGTTTAAAAACTGAAAACTGCAGAAAAAAAATACCAGTAGTAACAGCTAGACCTCTGGTCAGAAAATCAAGTATGAACAAGACATAAGATTTATTGAATTTTCAACCAAATGCAGGTTGATCTTGACTGAGATATTCACATTGAGATATTCAAAGGGAGTTCAATGTGATATCATTTAGATGATGATTCCCATTCTACAGGCAACTCTTCACAGATCTCTTATGACTCAGTTGTAACAGAAAGGGATAAAATGTGATAAAGACAAGACCAGGATTCCCATCTGCAACCCAAACTCTAGACAGGTGCTGTGTACCCATTGAGTGAACTATATGGACCATTGACAATCAATCCTGCCTAACCATCACATTCCTCAATCTTAAATGTCTTAAATGCCTAACCCCCAACCCCCACTGAGTGCACTACCACTGAACTATCAACCAGGTTCACTTGCAGGTGGTCAGATACTCAGTTTGTAGAACATCTGTCTAGAGTTCAGAAGGTCCAGGTTCAAATCCTGGTCTGGTTCATTGCATTTTCTCTCACTTAGTTACACAACCATTAAGTCCCTGGGATGTATCTTAGTCTGTATCAAGTACCTAATAATAACTATATTACACTATAATCAAATTTCTAAGACTGTACATAATCACAAATTTCTATGCAGTCCTCAAGGCTCATTATTTTGAACTGAGCAATAACTACAGTAAAACTCATTTAGTATGAACACGGATATTGTGAATTCACGGATATAGCGACGTTTTCTTGGATCCCCAACTATATAAATTTAATGAATTCCTTATACGGATATAATGAATTATAGAGAAGTAATTTCACAGGTCCTGGTGACTTTGTTATGACAGAGTTTTTCTGTACCATTAATATCATATTAACTATATGAGCAATCCCAAACCCTCTTTAAGAATTTGAAATATTTTCAAAATAATTTCAAAAAAAATTTCCCCATTTTTATGATTAAGAAAACAAGAGGCCCAAGGGCTTGGAATACCATATAATGAGTATTTTCTGTGGGTGGAAAATATTGTGAAGCAGTTAGCAGTTTTTTTTTAAGTATACAGTTATTTGTCAGAAAGTTAAAAGTTAAATCAGGCAAAAAACTATCTTGATATCAGCCCCACTTACCAAGTTTGAGAAAATGATATAAATTTTCGTTATATTATTTTGCGATTGCAATTTTTGTGGATTTGTCTCATCCGTAAAAATTCCGCAAAAATTAGACAACCACAGAAAATACCTGTTATACAGTAGGTCTGACTCAGATACAACGTCACTGTGACCTACTGTACACATATGTGGACAAATATATATTAAATACTTAATGCTTTCTTGTAAAGTTTTCACACAGATAAAGAAACCCAGTTTTTGTTCAAAGAAACAGCATAATAACCACAAGAAGTTCATCATTTACAGATTTCACTGGGATGTTTCATCATGTACATATTTCACTGTGACGTTTTTTATTGAAGAATCTTCTTCATCTGAATAATAAGTCTACACAGTAGTGGACACCTCAGATACAACTTTGAAGAGCAGGAAATGAATAAATAGTTTTCATAAATTCAATTTATTTCAAGTCAAATCTTATTATTTAAATATAAGAATATAAATGATAGTGATGTGTACCCAGTATATCAATGATTAGCACAGTTCCCTGCCAAAATAGACATATGTCACTTTAAAACATTAGCAAATGCAAGTTGTAAAAGGGTTTGCACATTAAAATTATTTTCTGTCAAAGGAGATGGGCAAACAAGGCTTGAAGAATGCCTATGGCTTCAGATGTATAAAAATCATATTGAGTTTGTGAATTTAGTACTGTAAATGACTTTTTATTCGTGAGAACTTTATTTTCTTGTAGTTATGTGAGATGGTCTGCTTGCCAAAATTTCATTCTTGCATATATTTTTATTAGTATAGATTATATACATCAATACCCAGAATTTATGAAAATTTTGTCTCACTTATAAAAACCCATCTTGCAAAAATAAGGTGTCGTGAAAATTTGGTGATCTACAGTATTTAAAGTAAAGTTCTTATTATTGAAATTATTAAAAACTTTTCTGCAGAAAATTTTCTCAGCAAAAATTATAAAAAATCTATCTTTAAAAAAAATTATATGGTATTCTTGGGACTCAAACCCAGTATAGCAATAAAAATCCTGAGTATTGTTTACCATTTATGCCACAGAACTCCTTCAAGTATTTTACAGAAAGATACAAATGTTGTGTTATAAAATTGTAATTTTAAGTTATGGGGGTACTTTCCTCCATGTTTTTGTTGACTGAAGAGTGCATATTTTTACACATACAGCCTACTCAATCCACTTATACTGAAATTGCTTTTTTTGAAATATTGCTTATTTTGAACTAAAACAAAATTACCTAAATGTTTTCATTGTGCATTTTTATAATTATTCAAGTGTTGTAAATTTAACTGTGCCATAATATTGTTTTGGGTTAATTTACGCATTTTAGTCATCAGGATCAGGATTTTAAAACTAAAAAAATTTGGTTGTATTAAAAAAAGTGTTGGTCCCTTGAATTTTAATATATCCCAACAGGGTTCGAAATTCACTATATACAACTCGCAAAAAGCGAGTTAGAATTCCCCAATTGCGAGTTAAAAATTACGTAACTCGCAAAAACTTGCGAGTTGATTTTTTTTGCATTGAAACTGTAGCAAAATTATATATGACAGAACACAATGCCTTTGATTTAAATCAGTAATTTAAATAAAAGTCACACTGTACAAATGTAGTTGTATTTTGTGTATTGTACAGTAGTTACTTTTTCCTTAAGTTACATGTATTTAATTTATATAAATTTAACTTTATATGAAAATTGCGAGTAGTCTTATAAAATTGCGAGTTCACTTTCCTGGTACTCGCAATTATTTGCGAGTTGTAATTTTAGGGAGTTTCTAACCCTGCGGCCAAGTAGACTGTACTTTCAAGATAAACTTTCAACAAAAATTGAGCAAAGACCAACTCGTATGGAAAAATTATGTTATTGTATGAGAAAATGATCATTTTTGCCCTCTTTAGTGTGTGTATATTATTTCATAGACAAATACATGTAATTTCAATCTTTGTAAAAATTTTGCAAATTGTGGAGATTTTACATAAATTATACATTAATGTTCAATGAAATATCAAAGAATATTCGTTATAATTGAGATTTAATTTTTCACCTTTTTATTTGTCACGTACACCATATGCATTTTGTTTGCCTTGTTTGTCCATCTTCTTCTTGTCAACATTTGAGGGCACTATAAATGAAAAGGCACTAATTAGTGATGAAGTTTGGGTATACATATATACATGTATAAACAAACAATCTGTTGAATGTTAACCTGAACACATCAGGAAATGTAGGTCAGATCCAGCAAATACAGCAAGTCTGGAAGTGTGCACCCCTAGATGTGTAACAGGAGAGGAGAAAAATGCAACAAACCAGATCTGGATTTGAACCCAGGCCCCCTGAATCTCCAGTCAGGTGCTCTACCAACTGAGCTTTCTGGCCACTGGCAATTGAACTCGTCTGACCACCACACTCCTCCCTCCTTAAAGGTCTTTGGCCCCCAAAAACACCAACCCAGGCTATTTCCTGGCAGGTCTTTCACCTGTCACTTCCATGCAATGAAATGGCATGGCACGGCACCAATTGTAACAGGTGAGAAGAAAAATGCGATGGACCAGACTGGGATTTGAACCCAGGCCCCCTGAATCTCCAGTCAGGTGCTCCCCCAACTGAGCTATCTGGCCACCAGTGATTGAACCCGCATCTGACCGCCACAGATGCAAGTTTTGTCACCAAAAGGCTTACAATTACTTCGGAATGGACCTGCTCCAAAAACTTAAACCTGGTCTCTGATCCAGAAAATGTAGATCAGATTCAGTATCTGAAGCAAGTCTGGTAGCCTAATGTGCATTCTGAAGACATTTATCCATGCATTTTTGGTCAACTTCTTCAGTTACTTGGGTATGAAACCGGGCACTCCAAAAACTTTAATCGCTCCAAAAAACATTAATTAACCTGGTCTTTTGTGGAATATATTGGCTGAAAAAAGTAGCATCTGAAACCTGACTGATATAGTGAAACAATTACTAGTTGCATCCA